AAAACCTGGTTGTTTCTATAGACCTCTTTAAAAACAGCACGATAGCAGGTTGTGATTAACACCAAAGGTAATCCAATGTAGACCACCTCGATGAAGATCGTATATGGAACATTAGCTTCGAACGTGTAAAGGCACATAGATTTCCCAGGCTGGAAGGAGTATCCACCGACATTAATGAATAAAGGTGGGACGGAGCCAATTAAAGATGTGAACCATACCATTATAATAAAAAGGACAGTTCGGCGCTTTTTGAATATGGTTTGATATTTTGATCTTTTGCATATACAGAAGTAGCGATTCAGAGAGATTAGGCCCATGMTATGAAGAGATATCATCGCGAATGTAAYCYTCGCGAACCCTGACAGCTGACACARAAATGAACCGAAAATCCATTTGCCCGAAATCGTTGTTCCAAGAGTAAAAGGCATGCATAATGAACAGATGAAAATYTCACTTACAGCCAATGCAAATACGAAAAAGTTGGAAATATTTRGTCTAAGTCGWGGGTTTCTTACCACGGCATTACATACGAAGATATTCCCCACAAATGCAACTATATTTAGAGTTCCAATAACAGAGGCCAACAACCGTTGTTCTACCCCGTTCCTTGCTGACGAAGCGTAGATATTTCCGTCTCTCATAGTTTGATTGTTCTTATTAAAATGTATAGTTCCTTTATACTTCAATTTCAGCTGCGTCCCATTATGTTTCAGAAATAATTTGAACMATGCTAAATAATACTACATTTCAATGGCGCGTTTTTGAAAATGGCAATAGTGTTCCGAGAAGGCTTTCTTGGATTGCTCCCGTCGATGTCAATGGGCACAGTACTCAGGCATAAATTAGTTATATTATGATCGAAGCACGTCCTTTTTAAGTTGCCATATGGTTTCTTTAATTTTCTTTTTTCTTTTAACCAGTTTTAGAAGTCTGCGTGCCGCCCGTTTATATAGTGAAAGCTATAATTTGAAAAGCTGATGTTTTTGACACTTTGTTGTGTCGCTTTGACGGGACTCTCTTGCTCTTTTGCTTTTGTTGCCTTATTTTGAAGTAATGTATGCTATATAAATATAAAAAAGATTGTTTTTATATACCAGTACATACAAACGTTGACAAGGCGGCTTCTTTTAAATGTGGCGGGTCTTCTAGACGATCTTTTTGTCCAGGTTTAAACCTTTGTCAGTGCCTTTGTTGTTGTTGCTAGGCAGCTAAAGACAATCGTAGTGTTTCCCTTAAAGTGCTTGTACTATCTTAAAGATGAGCTGTTTACACCAGCTAAAATCCGTGCTAAGACGTCCTCTTTTRGGAGCTCTTTGSCTTCAAAACACTATCATTTCATGGCGCCTTTTTAAGAGATAGAAACCATTTTTCAAAAGGATTATTTTTATGCCAAGTCAAAACAAGTCAGCTTTAGAATAACGCTCTTGTCAGCGATACGCTTTTCTGTATGTTGGTGTCAAATAGATGACTCTAGCTTATATAATTCTACTAGTGAATTCTGGTCGACCAATCAACAAGCTTTGCATCCTATCGCGTCATCTTCCGATTGAAAAAAACATTGACACTTCTAACTTCAAATGGACTTGCTAATATATBGAACCGGTAACACACTGSGCGGTAGCCTGGATTCCACTAAACTATCATTTCCAAAARTTGAGACCTGTTGTTTTACTTTTGAAATAAAAACACATTCGATTCAAGGAATTTTTTTGAGTTGTATATTATATTATTTACGTGAAACTTTGTGATAAGTTCTCCAAAAGATTATTAACATAATCACATAATCTTCAACTTTGTATATATTGACTTGACGATTCTGTCAATACAATATTATATGATTTTGAAATATTTGATCGG